TCCACCCCTTTTTCATTTTGACAACATTAGCATTCTCTAAGCGAACTGTTCATCAATCACTTGATGGTTGGATGACTGTTGTGGATATGCACATAGTACAGGGCCAGTAACTATGTACCAAGTTTTCTAAGCTCCAGAAGTCCCTTGTCTGGGTCCTTGGTCACAGAGGTATAGTTGGGGAGTGGGAATGGGGATTAGGATTTTGATTATCCTTCCTTTAACTTGTAGGACTATATTTCATGACCTTCAAGGTGGTTTTCCAGCTTGTGCTTGTGTTGTAATTGTTTTCATTCATATGTTCTACACAGTCCTATAAAGTCTTTGATTCATGATTTGAACTGTTCCTGAATTTAAAAACAAACTGTTTGTTTCTGAAAGTTATTATGATGATATACTTAATCTCTTGCATGCACAATACCTTTATTATTTTCATTTGAAAATGTGTGTTTTTTCTTTTTCTCTGTGTATTCTTGGAATTTGCATAACATTACTCTGTTATGATCAATGTTATGTCTTCCAGAGCTGGAATATTGGTGGAACCAAACTTCGGTGCAGAAGTAAGTAGCGATGTGACTTCTTCATCTGGCCCAGTGAAATTGGAAGATCTTCAAAGAATCTTAAGCAATATTGACCCAGCAGGTATCAAGTTTTCTCCTTATACTATACATTTGTATATAAGTCTTTTCTCTCATTTCGTTGAATTACTCTGCCTTCTGACACTTCTTGTGTCATCTGCAGATACTGCTTTGGATCCAGATGAAGGTGAGATCATGATCTTTTATCGTTGGTGTTGTTTTAAATGGACACAAATGCCTTACATCCGAATTTTTGTGATTTGCTATGTATAGGTTGCCTTGATCTAGGAAATTTCTTACGCTTTTCATTATCTGAACTATCTAATATATTGCATAGTTTCAATGCAAAATGCCCTTCTTATTTTTTATTCAAAAGAAGTAGCAATATTGTGGAAGATTGAATATGTAGTGAAATCCTTAATGTTTAAAAATGACTTCAACGTGGCACAATCAAGTGTTTTTGATCCCCATTACAAAATAGATTAGAACGCGTACTCATAAATACTAGGTAGAAATAAGAAAGATAAATGAATTTCTACAACCGGGTTCGTATTTATGAATTTCTACGACCGGGTTCATATTTTTAACCCTGTTTGCTTTTAGCATCGGAGGTCATCTATTTCCTTAATTCAGCCAGTAAATAACAATTTTTATGAACACTTTGCCCCGAACGATTATGGTGCTTCTGTATATGCCTTTCATTCAGTGTTTAGGCCCTTTATTGAGTGTTATTATTCAAAAAGGATGACGTGGTGGGCGGTATTCCTGGAATGTTCATTTTGCATATTGCCATACTAGCCTGTTTCTTTTCTCGTTCTTCCTTGTGGTGGCCTTTCTCCTAGTTGTTTGGCAGAATAATCAAGTTACGTGTGGGAAAAGTTCACTTTGCTCTGATGTAAGTAAATATGGTAATTGAGGCACAATTGGGTTAATTTAAATGGCAGAATCTGACAGAATTGATCACAGAGGTTCAGGTGGTATTCAATGATTTTAACAAAACTGAGAGTTTTAAAGGCAAGGTGGCAATGTGAATTTGGACCATTCACAGAGGATCTAAAGTGATTTTAATCCCTAATTTTCGTATTAACGTCTCTATTGGGACCTGTCAATCATTATTTAAAATTCTAACAATTGGCATAGATTGTACTAGAGTATCTTTAACAATTCTTTAAAATATGATATGGATCTAACATTTTGACTTGTCTTTTGTTGGGCTAGGCTTGAGTTTGGGGGACATATTGAAACCTGATTTGATTATGCCATTGATTGAGACATTGCAACTAGAGCAGCGTTTAGAGTCTTACTTACCTGAGGTATGCATCATTCTGGTACTTGAGTTCTCTGTTTTGTTATACACTACTTTTGCGCCATTGTTTGATTTGGTTGAGGTGGCAGGGTCAATGGTCTCCAGAGGATATATTGGAGTTGCTGCAGAGTCCACCATTCCGCCAACAAATGGATTCATTTGCTTATGTAAGAATTTAAAATGTCATCTTTTGGAATTATAATGCTGTTTGGTTGTTTTTTTTAATGAAGGTTGTTCGTTTCTTTCTTTTATCATCATTATCATGCTAAACTTTCTTTTATCTTTCCCTAAATGTTTATAGGTACTTCGAACAGGACAGATAGATTTGTCTCAGTTTGGTGTTGACCCAAGTAAATGTAAGCAATCCATATCAGCAGAATCTTGTGGTTTTCTATTATATTCATACTTACTGAATGATTTATTTATTTATTTTACTTTTTTTTATATAAAAAATTGATACTGTCAATGGGCGAACTTCTGAAACTTGACAATAAGACATAATAGCATGTGAGAAACATCAACTACTTGTGAGATGCATCTTAGCCATTGCATTACCATTTGTGAAGAGAAATAGAGGAGGGAAAGAAGGGGCGGAGGGATAAGTAGAAGTAAGACTGGTAATCTCAGAGGATGAAAGTGGAAAACTGGAGGGGTGAGTGAGGTATCCACCTAGATCCACCATTTCAAATCCGTCCAATGGTTGATTTACTTTACTGAGCAGGAAGGAAGATGGAAATGCTATGACTTGTATTTTTACTCCTTGACCTCGTCAGATTAGATTTTGGTTTGGTAAGGCAAAAAAGTAAAGAAACATAATGTTAAAGACATCAGTAGTTTCCCTTTTCCATTGCCTTCTGTGTGCCATACTAAAATCAGGAGGGAAAGCAAACTCCCCATCCATACTATCCAATCCATTTTTCTTATTTCCTTCCTTTGTGGTAAATGCTGTGTCAGAAAAGATAAGTCTGCTCTCCATCAAGGTTCCCCAATTCGACTATCAGCTTACCTCTAAATGGGAAAATGACTACCCAATCTACTAGCATTTTTCAGACAATTCTAGTTCCATTTTAAAGTTCCTTTGGCCTGACATGTGGATGAATCACATTGGCCATATGCAACTTCATTAAATTGAAACACTTTAGAGGGCCTGATGCTGATGTTATTTTCCAGTATTTTGCATCCACTTGAGGATTTGTGAGCACCTCAACATGATATCAAATGACATAACTCTATATCATGATAATCCATGGTATTGTTACTTATGGTTTTAACTACTTTTCTCCTCTTTCTTGCAGACAAATTCACTGTATTGTCCTTTCTTGAGGCACTTGAGGATTCGGTTTCGAAGGCTTCAGAGTCTGATGAGTCGAGGCAAGACAACGAGGATTTAAGATCTGAATCTTGTAATCGTAACGATCCCATGGATGAGTCCAAGTAGTTGACTTGAGACACTTGTTTTTACGCGTTTCTGTTCATTTATCTTCCTTTTGTTTGTAGGACTTTTATCCAGTCTTCTTGTAACACTCTGTATACATCGTTGGTTCAAGAAAAGGAAAAGATGCAACAAGAAATGGGAAGTGTTGAAGATTTATTTAGATTTCCTACTATTTCGTACACAGATCAATAAATATCTTAAAGGTTTCGTGTTTTTTCCTTGTACATGTTGAATCGGTCATGATACTTGAACGTCAAAGTTAACAACGTAACATGTCAAACTATTGGAGGTCAATGTGCTAACGTAGAATTGTTTGATTGATTGTTTTTTCAGTAAGATACGACTGCCATGGCTGCAACCTCCATGGTGATCAAGTTGGCTTAAATTTTTATTTGTTGTATTTTCTTGAATTGCACGTATATCCTCTAATGAAATTTTGCAAAAGGTTGGGCGGAAATAAAATCAGTCAAATGAAAAGAAACTTGGGCTTTTCACATATAGAGAAAAGTCTTTCAAGTTCAGTATTTTAGAGAAATCTCCTGTTGTAGTTTTAAATGGAAAAACTAATACACACTAATGGCTAGTTTGACATTGCTGTGCTATGAAAATAATTGATATCAGATTTGTTGGGAGAGAAATCAGTTGTGGAAAAAAGCAATTTAGCGTTTGGTAAATATTTTGTTAAAGATGATGTTGGTACAATAATCAGTTTATGAGTGTTTGGTAAATTTTTGTGTGAAGGTGTTGTTATCTGTGTATAATGATTAAAAAGGTCACTATGTTGAAATGACTAAAAAGGGCCCTATGTAGAAATGACTTTTTTTTTTCAAGTGTTTGGTATAAAAAAATTACTTTCACTTTCTCTTACATATTTTTTGTGTGAAATATGTTTCCATCACACTCTAAAAATTATTTTAATTATAAAACAAATAAAGTATCATAAAAAAAATAAAGTGTCAATAATATGGTATTAACAAAAATTAAGCTAGTCATATATAAGGAATCATATACAATTTCTAAGTAGATGAACTCATTAAACTGGCGGCTATATGATTTCTCAATGCCTCCATTTTTTGTGCTACCATCTTCTTGGTGTGCATCAACCTCTCTCTCAATCTCTTCACCTTAGATGTCATTTAGGCCATCTTCACTTGAAAAATTCATATATAATAGAAATCAAGTTGTCATCCTCCTATTTTCACTCACTGAAATCACACAAAACATTTTCATTTGACATGTACACTACTGTATAAAATAAGAAACAGCTATATAAAACAAAGACATGGTGAATAGATTGAGAGGGAACATTGAGATATATAACAAAACAAAGAGAAGAAGAAAAGAATCAGACAACTAGACAAATTATCAATTAATTTGTGAATTAGAGTAGGATATTTTACGATATGTTAAATCTATCGTAAAATGGAAATTTGGATGGAAATTTGGATAGAATTTTTACGATAGATTTAACATATCGTGAAATTTTTATTATATATATTTTTAAATATTTTTTAAAATTACGAGTTTACCTTTAATTTGGATGGAAATTTGGATAGAATTTTTAAAAATTGGCGGTAGGCCCTATATTTAAACATTTGGAATCTTTAATTTACCGAAAAAATTGTTAAGCGCTAAACTGACAATATGCAAATAGTTAAGGGGCAAAACCAGAAAACCCAAAAAAGAAAGTGGATATGTACCCGCCAAAAAGAATCTGAATGAAGTCGCCCTTTCGTGTCCTTCCTTCTCCAAAAATGAAAAGCATAGAAATTCAAAGGGCACAGAGACGAGAGAGCGAGAGAGAAACGAGAAATACGACAAGTACGACTTGGAGAAGCAGCGCGACCTCAACCCTTATGGCGACGATGCCTTCGCTCGTCTCTATGCTGGCGTCAACGACAAAATCTAAGCTGCTCTTCAGGTTTGTTTGAATCTCGTCTGTTCTTCATTCCATTGTTTATGTTTGGTTGCCGAGAAAATGTAGCAACGGAGAGACAGGGGAAACGGAAATATTTGAGTGCCTGGGGTTTGATTGTGTGCTGAAATGTGCAGAAAGCCGAGATGGGTGAGTAATCGGGCTGTGGCGGTTGCAACGAATGTGGAGATTCGACGGACCAAAGCTTGATTGGTGGAGGAAGTTCCTAACCTGCCGAAATTGGCTCAAGAAAAGGTTTATCAAATCATCTGTTTTTTTATATTATTATTTATGTATTTTTAATTAAGCTTGAATTTTAGGAAATACGTCTGATTAGATATGATTTGGTGGCTGTGGGTCACCAATTAGGCTTTTTCTCCAATTGTTTCTTGGTTTTGGAAAAGTGGTGTGGATTGGGCCTCTGTTGCTCTCTGTCTATCCATGATGCACAACAAGAGTGTTGTTCTTGTAGTACTAGACTAGAAATAGGATAACTGTAGAAGAATCTGGAAGGAACTAGACTTGGAAGACCAATTGGCATTTCCTCTTATTCTGAAATAATTAAGAATAGTTGGAGAAGTTTTACACACCTGACAGAATGTTGACAATTGGAAGATATCTTACTGATTTAGATAAACTTTTGGCATATATATGTATATTTGACCCATGATAGAATATCATATTTAAGCGTCCATCTAATTTAATTGAATGGGGATCGACAATCCATGGATGAATACATCAATAGTTGTACCTAACATCTGATTTTTCATAAGATTTGAAAACAAGCAGTTGCAGCTCATATAGTTTAGCTGTCAAGATTGTGTTATTGGACTGCATTTGTGCGTGTTCTGCGTTGTGCTTAATAAAATTTGTTGGGGGCATTCCTATCAGTCACTTATCAAAGCTATAGTTGTTTAACCATTGTTGCAAATGCAATTGGAGCCTGCAAGCATGTTTGCAATTGTAAATGTATTTATGTATGTAAAGTATGTTGGAGAACCCTGCAGCCATGCTTGCACACGTGTAGTTAGTGCCCGGGGATCAAATTCTAGTAGGAGAGTGCTGCTAACAGCAAATCAGGTCAGTGCGGTGTCTATTTATCATTTCTGTTATCGTATCTTGAGCAGGAGTAGAAAGTCATAAACAGTCAAATTTATAGAGAACATGCACTTCAACTTTGATGCCTTAAGACTGAACTTGTTAGCGTTAGAAAATTTAATGGTGCATAGTTCTTCGGGTAATATATTCATTTTCCATTTCTTGTGATAACTATAGCTAGAGTTGAGTTAGGCAATGAATCTGGCCTTCTTCATATTCTTCTACTTGTGCTACAGAACATATCTGCTCAGCTTCAAATTCCAAAGCCCAATGACTATGAACTTTAGGTAATTAGAAAAACTCATCATTACCACCTGGGTGGGATTCAAATACTGGTTTTAGTAGCGTTCTTACTGCTCTTTTTTCTTGCATATGAGACAACAACACCTGACATGGAAAGAAAGTGAGACTGCTTCACCTGAAACTGTTGAAGTAGTCAAAGAAGAGGCAAGTTCTTCTGGTAGTGTCTTAATATCATAGGATGATCAGTCAAGCAGCGATCATAATGTCATTGAACTGCATGGGGCAGAAGCTGATTTGTTTAAACCTATGACCTGTGAAGGCAACCAAATTTCTGATGAGGATCAAATGATCTGGGAAAACATGGGTAGTTTCACCAAGGAATGTCAAGTTTCTGAAGAGATCTGTGAAGGTGCAGATATGAGTCCAAAGGTCCAAAATTCTAGTGCATCTAAATTGAAAAAGACTGATGCTTTGTCTGACTCTTGATTTAAAAACCAAGCAAAAGATGATGGTAGTAGATTTAACACAAAGAGTAGGAAACCACATGTGGAAGATGTACAAATGCTGGCTTTAGGTGGAAGGATAATAGATGAAATGAGTGATGTTGACCTGAGCACTTCAGCTCCAGAAAATTGTCAACTGGTGATAACTGATTGTGGAAACGAAAAACCTGAACAGCTAGACCTTCCAAATTCCTGCTATGTTGGAGAACAGGTTTTCCAGGAAAATAAATTGCACTTAAATGGTTGTGTGTTGGATGGATTCAGTATTTTCCCTGAAGAATCCCAGCAGAAAAATGTTCTTCAATGTGTTGATTCAAAAGAACCAGAAGGACCTGGTGCCTGCAGAAGTGAATCAGAAGTTTCCAGAACCCTTTTCTCTAATACCACATGGTATGCTAGATTTCAGTTCTAATGTTGCAGAAATATTGGAGTCCCAGAATGTGGATGATGCAGTATCTGAAATCAACGAAACAGCGGTTGAGAGTTACAACCTGGACTCACAGTCAAGGAATGACTTTCAGCTTCATTGTCAAGACTGTTCTTTGAAATTGGATAGTGTGGGGGATTTCACGTCCAAGCTAAACGTGAAAGTGCAAGTTGAGGGTGGCTCTACGATACAAGACATAATTGAGCCCAAAGATTTCGGAACCAAAGATTGCAACTCACCTGTTGAAAGTTGCTCTGGTGTCCCTCAGTTACAGACTGAAGATGACAAAAGCTATTGCCAGCAAGATACTTGAGTAGAGCAGAATAATTTGAAGAGTGATAAAATCAATCTCAGTTGAGATATTGGTGTCATACGAGAGTAGAAGGATATTAATCCCAGATCTTGTTTGAATGGAACCTTGCTTGCAAACAACGCTTCCTGCAAGGTATTTGGGGAAACTGTTCATGAGGTTGGTTTAGATGACTGTAGTGCTTTTGGAAATGAATCAAAGAGTTCCAAAGTAGCAGCACTAATGCATGATGGCAGACCTGATTTGGAGGAAAAGGCTGACTACTTAAAAATGGAAGTTGCAGTGACCAGCTCTTTCAAGATTGAAGCATCATCAGAAAATCTTCAAAGTTGTACGAATAATAAGCTAAGTGGAGTCTTATTTATCTGGTCTTGATTAAGGCCTAAAGGCATTTGTATTTAGTCTCATATATTTTAAAACTAACCCAATTAAAATTGAATGACATTTTTCCTCTCTAATTTAGGGGTTTAAAAGAAAACTCAAAAGCAATTATAAACTAGGTAGGGAAGAAGCCATTGTTGCTCTGCATTTGTCTCCAATTACATAATACATTACCAATATATCCATTACAGAGAAACTTAGTGAGGGAGGAAAGAAGCAAAGAAAACCAAACGAACATTCCCTTTGCAAAAACCACTAGAGGCAATATGATTCAAAACCATGATAAAGGATATTCTATCAAGTATCAACACATAGTTTACTATAGAATAAAGGATATATATTTCGCCTGTTCATGAAAAAATTACATCTAAACTTACAGCCAGTTACACTAGTACAATATATCTAAGGAATTGGACCCGTAGCTGTTTTGGTCTAATGGTTGGCTGACCACATTATAAACATCATTGAGCTCAGAAGTTGGCAAAGGCTCTGCTTCTTCTGCCAATAGTTCATCAACTTCGAAGAATAAATTCGGATCCTCATGATCATCGACATTCCCTATTAATCCCACTAGTTCATCGCTATTATACTCAAAATTACTCAGATTGCTGGTGGCTGCTTCCACTGGTCCGTCAAATTGATTAACAAAAGGCTTTTCTTGGCTTTCAACAATCTCAGGCAGTTGCTGCGAGTGTAACAATGGCGGTTCGCGGTCTAGTTCTGCAAAGAGTTCATCAATGTTGACGCTTTTATAATTGGTGTCGATTAAATATTCTTGATCACAAGTGGTACTGTCGTTGATCATCAACTGATTCCTCTCATCATTCATAATCTGCGGCCCCACTGAATTTTCAGTTTTCATCTCCTTTGTAGATTGATCTCTTTTCATCTTCTTGTTTGATTGATCTTGAGACGAGCACTTCCTCTTTTTCCCAGACTTGTCCATATTGCCCTTCCTTCTCAGCCGACAAATCACAACGTCAAAATCATAGCAATTACTACTTGTGCCGTTCTTGCAAGCCTTTTTGAAAAGGCTATATTCATCCAAGAGCCAGCCGGCGTGGTCCTCCGAAGTATTCCCGTTCTCATACCGGAATTTCCGTTTTCTCCCTATAACATCAAGATTAGATTTTCCATTAATCTCATCCATCTCATCCTTAACATTTCGGTAGGTTTCGGTTTCGCTCCAAGTACCGAGGCCAGTCTTGCGTTGGATGCGCAAACCATTTCTCTGGAGCTCAGAAACGAAGTACAAGTCTTGATCCTTAAGTTGATCTCCTCCGTAATCTCTCCAAATTTCTGAGGGTTCTCGTTTGTTGCCGAAGAGGTTGCACTTGTGGATAACCTTGTTGTATGGCGGCATCGAAGTCAGAGGCTTTTTCTCCCCCACCATCTTGTAGAGAAAGGAGCCGATGATTTCTTGGTCCGTGGGGCGGAACCGGAAGCCGAGCAGTTGTTTCACTCCGGAATTAGCCATGAGAGAGAGAGAGAGAGATAGAGAAAAGACCTTCACCGCACAATCTTGTCGAATGACACCGATTTACCGAAGTGAATTCCCTGAAAACCTGAAAAGGGTTGTCAAAGAATCGGATTTCCCAGCGCTGGACGTGTTCATTTGCACTGCTGATCCGTTCAAAGAACCACACAATCTTGATTTAACTTTTGCCCAAAGGAGGAAGACTGTGTTCTTGTTCAAGTGAAGTGCGCAAGAGTGTATATTTATAAGCCGAGAGTTACTTGGAATCAAAGAAAGCCGTAGGAGAGAGAGGGAGAGTTTTCCTTATTGATTTTAATTTTGGTCAAAGATTTGGTCAAACAACCACGAAGGAAGCCATTGCCTTTAGGCCCAGCCCCAGCAGTTGGATCCAACGGATGGGTGCTGTTCTTATGATACCTTGATTTTAATTTTTGGCGTTTTTGCATGCTCATTGCGTAAAGTTGCCCTTTATTATTATTATTATTATTATTATTATTATTATTATTTTATAAATTTTAATTTATGCTCTTTATTTTTTTTTTTATATTTTTTTTTAATCAAGCGCTTTTCAACTCATTGGTATTCTCAAAATTCAGGTGCTTCCCTTCTGCTCACTCTGCTCTACGCAATTTTACATTGAGAGGAACTTCTTTGTAGGAATGAACAGACTCAGCTGCTTTGCGCGGTGGTCTTCTGACTGAAGATCTCCTTGGAGACATTGCAAACATCCTTACTTAACCCCAATCACCCTGACAACCTTGCAAATATCAAACCACCCAAGTCCTAAAACCCAAACATCCTTACTTAACCCCAAAAACCAAACACAGCAAGGTGGTTAATAAATGCACCCAAAAAATAAAACTGATCTAATTTATTTTACCAATGTTGCAAACACGAGAAACATACCAAACTGCTTTCGATTTTTTCCCCTGTTCTCTAGTAGTTTGAACGAAATTATTGTAATCTTTGTAAACAATTTGTATAACATATATCAGTACATAAGTTGATAGACATATGGAAAAATTTCATATCAATATGGGAGAGTTGACCTTCAATTGAACAAGTATATCAACCCTGCAAAAGCATGAGACTCATAAACTAAAGAAGAATAAAATGGCAGAAACATGTTTATGCCTATTGGATCTATATACGTATTTAAGAGTACTTGTGTTGTGCTTTTGTATTTGTGATGAATTTTGACCTTCTCCATATTGGAGTGGAACAAAAGTAAACTAAAAGTCATATGCTCGAATTAGTTTTTCTGGTTTCCAATTAACTTCAGAACAATGAGGAACTCTCAATTATTCATAGTCATATTTTTTTTTTGTTGTCAAAGAGAGGATAAAACCCAAGAAAAACAACAACTGAGCCACACTAACCATTTGAAAAGTAGCAACCCTATCAAATCATCTATTAGAAAAGAACTAAGCCAAACTGGAGGCTCATCAAAATGACTAAACCCCCAAAGCCAGACTAAAAACTCCAATTTGCCAAGCGATATGTAACAACATTCTTTTCCCTAAAACCCAAACCCTTACTTAACCCTAAACACCAAACACAATGTAGGTAGTAAAAGCAACAAGAAAAACAGAGAGTAATCTTGATTTTGGCTTAACAATACAAACACAAATATAAACACAAAATTCATCACAGAGCAGCAATAAAAACCCTAGAAATTAAAGCGAAAGGGAATAATGAAATTGAGAATAAATAAACTTAATGTGTATCTTACCTGAGTCTTGTGGTTTTACTTCAATTGATCCAACAACCAAAAAAGAAGAACAAATGGAAGAGAAGAGCTTTGGGAAGAGAGGGCGTGAAGACTGAAAACGAGCGAGCAAAAGAGCGGGCATGGAATTAAATGCAGGTATTTTTGGAATTATGAAAGTTTCATAAAAGTATAGTGCGTTCTCAAATTTGATTCCAGCATAATCAGAAGATGAAAACACCTAATGAGCTGCTTTCTCTCACAGCAATTATTCACAATAAGTGATGTTGTTATCTCTTACCAAACAAGGTGAGCTTTAAAAAAATAAAAAAAAAATTACTTATGGACCCAAATAAGCAATGTCAAATAGGCACTAAGAACCAAATAGAAAATGACAAGTGGCTAACTGAGGGTTTGTTTTCCTAAATTGTCTCTCTAAGTGCCGGTTTGGCATTGCTTATTTGGGGTTATAAGTGATTTTTTAAAAATTTTGGGAAGCCCAGCCTGTTTGGTAAACTATGAGAAAATCACTTATTGTTAAAAATTGCTGTGAGAGAAAGCTATAAGGGAAAGCAGCTAATGAGGTGCTTTCATTTTCTGATTATGCAGGAATCAGTTTCGAAGAGGCGCGGGGTTTAATGATTATGCTGCAATTTTTTTTTCTAATTATGCTGGAATCAGTACCAATAATACTTCTAACAAAAAGTTTACCAAACGCCAAACTGCTTTCTCTTACAGCTGATTTCTCTCACAGCAAATCTGACAGAGATTATTTTCACAGCACAACAATGCCAAACTGGTGTTTTGGTGTAAAGTATACAGTTTTCAGGGGTTTTTTTTTATAATTTACTCAAGAAGTTTATATTGGGCTCGGCCCAGACCCGACCCAGTTGTTTCCAGTGGGCAAATGCCAACGGGTAAGGGAACTCGGATCTTTCGAAACGCACGTCGTTTATCGTCTGTGTCTTCCCTCCTAAAACCCTAAACCCCCTCTGTTTCTGTCTGTCCCTAGCGTCTCCATTTCTTTCTCTCTCTATTTGTCTTTTGGAAAGATTCAGAAAAACCCTATGCAATAGCTAGGATACGAGAGAAAGAGAGAAAAGAGAGAGAATGGGAATATTCGAGCCGTTCAGAGCAATCGGCTACACAACCAGCTCTGTGCCATTCTCTGTTCAGAGGCTCGGCACTGAGACCTTCGTCACTGTCAGCGTCGGGAAGGCCTTCCAAATTTACAACGTAATTTTTATTTTATTTTATTCATCTCGTTCGTTAGTATTTAAGTTACAATTTTGATGCTCACTTCGTTATTTTTTTCCTTAAATTGTCTTTCGATGCAGTGCGCAAAGCTCAGTCTGGTCCTTGTTGGTAAGTTACTAATCATTAACAATATTTTAGTGTTGGGAATTGATGTTAACTCGTAGTGTTCTATAGAATTTGTGAATTAGCTCGGAGTTGTAACTTTATTTTTGATTTTGGGCTGTGCAAAGTTAGCAATTTCAATGTTTCAGGAGCAGGATGATGTTGTCTTGACTAGTTTTCTTTTTAGTTTCTCTTCGTCCAAATAAAATTATACTGCATTCTTTCATAGTTTTATGCGGTGTAATTATATGAACTTTTAAAAATAAATAAAAAAATCTATGCAGGTCCACAATTGCCGAAGAAGATTCGAGCTCTTGCTTCCTACCGTGATTATACATTTGCTGCGTATGGGAATGATATAGCTGTTTTTAAGCGAGCTCATCAGGTTGGTGGGCAGTGTTTTGTCAATAAGTTTGTTTAAAAGGAATGAAATTTGCCCCCCTTCCCTTGTCTTAAATCCCAAGCTATAGTTTGTGGGTTTCAGAGTTCTTCCTTTTTCCATTTGTCCTTCTTCATCTTAATTGTTTGTTCAATGAATTGGATTGATGCTTTTGTATGCTAGCTTAGTTAAGAGTGACTTCCTGTATTGATCTTATACAAAAATTGTCGGCACAGAAGAAGCAAGCAAAATAAAGTTGAGTAAGGAGGGAAAATTTGATTAAACTAACGGAAGTGAATGAGTAATGCAATCTAATGGAAGTCGTGGTTTTGCAAACCAATGGTCAATGTTGTAACTTTACAATTCCTTATGACAGAGATGGTATCCTAATTTCATAACTTTTAGATAGAATATTATAAATAATGTGGTGCGGGGCAGCCATCTGCATCTATTATCAGAAGCATCTGATGGACTGAACTTCATGTTTGACTATAGTTTTAATTCTTTAACAGGTAGCAACATGGAGCAGCCATAATGCTAAGGTCAATTCGTTGCTATTGTTTGGAGAGCATATCCTAAGTGTTGATATTGAAGGCAATCTATTTATATGGGCTTTTAAAGGAATTGATCAAAATCTTTCTCCCGTCGGACATATCACGTTAGAGAACAATTTTAGTCCTAGCTGTATAATGCATCCGGATACCTACCTAAATAAGGTAACTGCATTTTTCTCAAAGAAGCTCTATTGCAAAATAACCATGAATTTTCAGTCATTAAGATTCATGTATAGCTCTTTTTCCCTTCCAATTTAAGATGAAACCCTCTTTATAATATGTACAGGTTATTATTGGGAGTCAAGAAGGTCCTCTACAACTTTGGAATATCAGCACAAAGAAAAAACTCTATGAGTTCAAGGGATGGAAATCTTCTATCTGCAGTTTTGTTTCATCTCCCGCACTAGATGTTGTTGCAGTTGGTTGTGCTGATGGAAAAATTCATGTTCACAACATTCGTTATGACGAAGAGCTAGTCACGTTTGCTCATTCGACACGCGGTGCTGTGACTGCCTTATCTTTCAGCACCGGTAAGAGTTTCAGGCTTTTGATTTATATTAGTGGCTGTCCATTCCTATTTTACCATGGTGCTGTGAAGGTTGCTGTGTGGTACTGTAGAAGTATTTCTCTTTTGCTCTTAATTACCAAAAAATAGAACGATAAAAAGGGTTTTAGTACTATACTATCCTGGGCCTCTTCCCTCAGAATGGGTGGAAAGGCACAGGATATTATAAACTCTGACATATGGCTTAGAAATCCTGATTTGGGATTCTATACTGTCAATGTGCCCTCTCACATGTGAGTCAGGACTTAAGCCGAAGACGTGAGTCCCACCGCATATGGACAGCTTAAATTGTTGACGTAGGTTATGTTTGGCTAAAGGATTGGACCAAATACGTGAATTGCATGCTTTGATACCATGTTAAGTCAAAACATCCAACCCAAAACCTATGGGAAATAGGTGGAGAAGCCCATGATCTTGTATATTGTTAGGCAAGGC